GAAGCAACAGTGAGAACTGGACACGGAACCACTGACTGGTTCAAAATTGGGAAAGGAGTTCAGCAAGGCTGTATACTATCGCCCTGTCTATTTAACTTATATGCAGAACACATCATGAGAAAGCTGGAGTTAGATAAATCACCAGTTGGAATTCAGATTGCCGGGAGGGACAAATATCAACAACCTCAAATATGCAGATGATACCACTCTCATGGCAGAAAGTGAAGAGGAACTAAAGAGCCTCTTGATGCAGGTGAAGGAGGAGAGCACAAAAGTAGGCTTGCAACTCAACATTAAGAAAACTAAGATCATGGCATCCGGTCCTCTCACTTCCTGGCAAATAGATGGGGAAGAAATGGAGGTAGTGACAGATTTTATTTTCCTGGGCTCCAAGATCACCACAGATGGGGACTGCAGCCAAGAAATTAAAAGACGCTTGCTCCTGGGGAGGAAAGCTATGGCAAATCTAGACAGCATACTAAAAAGCAGAGACATCACCCTGCCAACAAAAGTGCGTATAGTCAAGGCTATGGTTTTCCCAGTTGCAAAGTATGTCTGTGAAAGCTGGACCAAAAGGAAGGCTGAGTGCTGAAGAACTGAGGCCTTTGAATTGTGATGCTGGAGAAGAATCCTGCGAGTCCCTTGGACTGCAAGGCGATCAAACCAGTCAGTCCTAGAGGAGATCAACCCTGACTGTTCTTTATTAGGCCAGGTATTGAAGATCAAACTCAAATACTTTGGCCACCTATTGAGAAGGAAGGACTCCCTGGAGAAGAGCCTAATGCTGGGAACAATAGATGGCAAAAGAAGAAGGGGATGGCAGAGGATGAGGTGGCTAGATGGAGTCACTGAAGCAGTTGGTGTGAGCTTAAGTGGATTCCAGGGGATGGTGGAGGACAGGAAGGCCTGGAGGATGTTATCCATGGGGTTGTGATGGGCTGGACACGACTTTGCGAATAGCAACAACAACAAAAGACATGGATAGGATTGTGCTATGAATCAATATG